GCCTAAAGAGCTAAGTTTTTAATTGGCTCTTGAAAACACCCAGCAAGGGTGCCAGGCAAATCTCTGGCAGCAAGCTGTTCCAAAGTCGAGGGCCCACTGCTGAGAAGGCCCGGTTTCTTGTTCTTTCTTTCCGGGCCTCTCTCAGCATCAGGTAAAGTAGTCTTTACAAGCTCTGTAGGACAAGATCCTTTTTAGAAACAGAGAAGGGTTTTCCTGAACCTTCTCTAGATGTGTCTTGCAGGGGATTTGAACAATATGAGAAGAAGCTGCGCCCAAATTCTGTCCTTTACGCAAGGCCATAGTTGCGTGGGGCCTCTCACCGCTACACAGAGGAAGGGCACCTCCTTGGTAATCAGTTCCGGGGATCTCCAGATATGAAAGGATAGAGGCCCAGTCCTTGGGATCTCCATTTCTGGAAGATTTTGGAGAAGTGCTGCCAATCTGAAGTCGGCAATCCCCCTCCCCCAGAACGACTCAGTGAAAGGCGAATGTTACACAACCCTTAAGTTCCTCGTGTCACCTGGCAGCCAACCTGAGCGCATCCCGAGAAATCGCTGTTGATATATTTTCTGCCCTATATATTTTCTGCCCTAAAACTTCCATCTTCCCCCAGGAGTGGTCACAAGACCAGATAGGCAGGATATTAAATAAATAAATAAATAAGTAAGTAAGTAAGTAAGTAAGTAAGTAAGTAAGTAAGTAAGTAAGTAAGTAAGTAAGTAAGTAAGTAAGTAAGTAAGTAAGTAAGTAAGTAAGTAAGTAAGTAAGTAAGTAAAATAAAATAGAGAGGCTTCGCTGGAATGAGCCACAGGTGACTGACCACAATCTGAGGGAGCTGCAGGGCTTCCCTGGAGCCCAGGTACCAAAGGAGCACCAGTCCATGTCTTTGAAGTGTTGATGAGAGAAGACCTCCATAAGCCAATCATATTTAATTACAGAGCTGGGAGAAGTTACTTTTGGAAAAGATAACTCCCTGCACCCCAAAGAGATCAGGGCCAGCTAAGATCTGCTGAGATGTCGACCACAGGGGTCTCCGTGTACCTGCGGTTGCCCCACTTCTCTTCTGCTTCATCACCTCCAAGGCTAAGGAAGGAGGGGCAACTCCCTTCTCTTGTGTCCTCTCCCTCCCTTTTCTCTGCTGATTAGAAACTGTGGGGATTCAGACTGGAGGGTCCCTGAGGGCAGGGTCCCGGGTTTCGTTTGGCTTTAGAAAATGTTTGCGATGCCAGTGCCTCGGCTGTTCGGGGTCCCGCCTGGCAGGTTAAGGACCAGGCCTTCCTCTGCTGGGGTGCCTGCCGAGCAGGAACACGGGCACCTCCTCACACGCTGAAAGAGAGAAAAAAGAGCAAAAAAACAAAATCAACGTTTTGAGAGGCAGAGCTGTTTGGGTGTGGTTAGTGCCCACCTGGACTGCCGGCAAGAGATCATGATGGAGTAACCTCTGAACTCATGTCTCTTTTCAAACTCCCGTGCCTGTCTATGGCTGTGCAAAGAAGACTGGCGACTGGGCGGTTTGGTCCTAGAGGGTAGGTTGTGTGTGTGTGTGTGTATTGAACTTTATCCTTCTCCTTCCTCCCCTTTGGAGGCTTGTATGGGGAGGGGGGACCCAGCACTTCCTCTCCCCTCATCCTGTTTGGCTGCCCTAAATGTCTGGAAGACGCTCTGCTTTGTTACCCTCTGGGGCTATCTCGAAACACTCCCCACTAGATCAGGTGAGGGCAGCAGTGACAGGAGAAGAGGGTCAGTTTCCCTCTGAGGATAGGATTGGCCCTTTTCAGGTCTCCTGCACCTGTTCAGGACCCGGGCTCTTTTCAAGGAAGTGGACGGGCACAGCCAATCCCCACTGGTCAGTCGCCGTGTTTCTTGGACTCAGGCATCTCTGCCCATTGACAGGGGCGGGAAAGTGGAGGCCCTCTTGTCCCTCTTGCTTGGGGAGGACTTTTGCTTTCTGCCAAAACTAACACCAGAAGCAGCAGCACTCAAAGGCTCTCAACCTCCCCCCTCCTAACGAGCAGTGGAACAATAATATTTTAAAAGCCCAGCCTGTGTATGCGCGTATGGAGTGATTCCTGGGACTGGGATCCCTCTGGCAGAACTAGCCCGGTGGCCAGTAGTCTCGCAGGCACATCCCGGCAGAGGCGCTTCGAGCAGTTAAACTGAACTCTCCGGACCTTATTGCTTTGCTGTTTAGGGTACTTCGTTTTAGTTTTATCTGAAGTCTCTATGGGCTTTGTCTTTATATAAAGTATATACAAAATTCTATCCAATACCCACAAACCCGGACAATTTCCCTCTCTTAACCCTTTCTTTTAGTTTCCCCTCCCACTTGGTGCACAGCTGCAGAGTTTTGTTGAGTTGTTTTGAAAATCCCTATTTTATTTTAATTTATTTTATTTTTAACCCTCTTCATTTCACTCAAAAGTAAGTCCCAAGACTGAATATTTATTTATAAAAAGACAATATTTGAAGCTAGCAACAGTAAGTATAAACATATTTTAAAATATCAAATACCACACTTAAAAAAAACAGTAAACAATAGTAGCACCAACAACACATTCAAAGCAGTAAGGCACAATCATCTACAGTGGGGTCTTGACTTAAGAACGGCTCGAGTTAAGAACATTTTGACTTAAGAACCGCTCTCATAGGAAAATATTAACCCGGACAATTTCCCTCTCTTAACCCTTTCTTTTAGTTTCCCCTCCCACTTGGTGCACAGCCACAGAGTTTTGTTGGGCTGTTTTGAAAATCCCTATTTTAATTTATTTTATTTTTAACCCTCTTCATTTCACTCAAAAGTAAGTCCCAAGACTGAATATTCATTCATTTATCCCCACTTTTCCCCTTAAAATGGACCCTAGGCATCTTAGATCATAAAAAGGCAATATTTGACGCTAACAACAGTAAGTATAAAAATATTTTAAAATATCAGATACCACACTTTAAAAAAACAGTAAGCAAGAGCAGCACCAGCAACACATTCAAAGCAGTAAAGCACAATTATCTACAGTATTTGAAAACCCCACTCAGACGGCCTGTCACTTGGGAAGCTTGCTGAGGTTAAATAGTCTGGTTGTTGCTTTGATATGTAGCAAAGGAAGTGTGTTTTTTCGATTCTGGTGACCCCTTTCCTAGATCAGAAAAAGTAGTTTAAAACCAGGATGGGCAAAATGCACTCCCAGGACATTGATGGACTGGGGGAGAGGTTTTTTGTGGTTTTTTGAAAAAGTGGATTTTCTACTTTGAAAAGATTCCAGTAGCAATGATTTTTACATTATGTAGGTTGGGGTCTTCATCCTCCAAACCTCTAAAAAAAAAAAAACCCTAACGAATCAACACCAGAAGTACAGTAAGTGGAATTTCCTCTCTCCTCCTATTTTCAGTGCACTCTCTGCTGGCTGGGTGCTAGGAGCAAAAAGATGCCCATCCTTCCCCTCTGCTCGGTCCCACCAGCCCTCCTGGTCGCTCACTCTGAACGCTCTCTGGACATCCTTCTCAGCGCCATGATGTGCGGATGCTGGAGATGCTCGGTTGAAGCCAAAGTCTTGCCCACAACCAAGAGCCACCAGCAGGAGAGCCCTGAAGCCGCTTCTCTCAGCAGCCGGGTCCAGAGCACGAATGACCAGTCAGTCGCCCTGGGCTGGCTGGGAATCGTGTTGCTGCGGCAACCACGTAAACAGACCAGGCTCTGGAATCCTGCAGAGCAACCACCCATTTTCGAATGAAAATACTAGCCTAGGCTTTCACAGAGCTCAGTGGTGGTTATGCAGGGTGGGCTGCCAACTGCTTCCCTGGTCTGGCTCCTGTGCCTAGAAGCAGCAGCCAGACATCTTTTGAGAGCACCTGCCGAGCTGCCTAAGGGTCATGTTAACTTCTCATAAACACAAAACACCATTTCTTCATTCCTTCTCGGCATCCTGGGCCACTTTGCTCTTCTTTTTCTTCCAGAATAAAGGTTCCTGAGAAAGCAGGGGTTGATCCTGGAGATATGGGCTGAAGGACCCATTATCTCTGTATTGTAGACTGTGGATACGAATGGGACTTACTACAGTATTTGACAGTGGTTTGGGAGCAGGTCCCACATAAAAATCATGAGGATCCATGAGGATCTGTGCCTTGGATTGCTGTTTTTACACCACAGCAAAGCCAGGTGCCAAAGCACCCATGATTTCTCTCGTTTAGTCTGCGGGCATAGCTGCGATCTATGATTTGATGGTGATTTGATGAGGCATCCAGATAAAAATCTCATGAAATAATGAGGATCCGTTCTTGATTTCAAGGATCTGCCTTTTACTTTCTTCTGGCACCGAAGAAATTCAGAGAAGTCTCAGGGCGGCAAGAGTAACAAGACATATTAACTTTTGCTGTGGAGGTTTGGATGGTGGCGAGAAAAGAAGCAAAGTTGGAAGAGGGCAAAGGATTGCACAGGGCAGGGGACACAACTTCTAAATAACGCACTCACTGGAGTCTCTGGCTAAGCCAGAGAGGTTCGGGATTTAGTTCCCCACTCCGCCTCCTTGGCAGGAGCTGGACTCTTCCAGCTCTGCAGTGCTAGAACGATAATAACGACGACGGCTACAATTTTTATTAATGAGGGACAAGTGTTATTATTTATTTATTTTGCAGTACTGTACAGGAATCAGCCGACACCACGATTCTTCCTTCACCACTTAAAACCCTATATTGCCCCCTTCCATAAGTAAAAAATAAAATAAAATAAAAAGGAAAATTCTCTGGCCACAATAGCGATTCCACATCTAAGCCACTCAAAGGGATACCGTATTCTCGAACAGACTCTAATGAGGTCCCCCCGCTCCTTCTCCGCCTTCCCCGCATCTTTGCAAACGACGTCAAATTTGGCACTGGAGGGCGAGCAGAGGGTTAAATTTCGGAAGAGAGAAGAGCCAATGAGGGGCTGGCTTGGGGAAATCCAGCCTGCGCTTCTTGCGTAAAACCGACCACTAGCTTCCACCAGCATACTGTATTCCGTGCCGTTAGTACGGGCGCGAGGCGTACTAGTTGTTTGGGAATCTCGCGCGGGCACCCGTAACCAGCGTTTAGGCCTGAGTTCTGATTGGTCGGAGGAGGAAGCGCGGCCGTTTCCAACGGGAGCAGGCTGGAAGTCGGGGTCCGACGGCAAATTAAAATGGCGTCTCTGGCGTTCCAGCAGTTGCGGGATTTGGTCGAACTCCAGGAGGCCTTGTTGGACAGCCTGAGGCGGCAGGTGGGGCCGGGCGCTGTCCCTGGGACAGAAGGCAGTGGGATTTAAGGAGGCCTGCGGTCCCGAGCCTTTTTTCTGGTCTCGCTCAGAAATTGCAAAATGGATAGGCTTGTTTCTTGCGACTGTCACCTGTCTCCCCTTTGGCAGGTTATAGCAGCAGCAGCAGCAGTCTGCTCCCGCCCGAGAAGCTAACGCCAGCCTCGGCCTTATGTTGGGGAGCGCCTTCCTTAGTCGTCTGATTCTGTCTGTCCAAAATGGTACACACACAAGTCATTCTTTGAGGGCTCCCCTGAGAACAGTATTTAAGGATCATGTAATACACATTTGCTCAAGGAGCTCAAGGCAGCATGCACCTATGGAGAAGTGTGCACTCATTCAACAGGATAAGGCCTGGTGTACTTGCAAAGCATAGATGGGAAGCTGGGGTGGGGGCTTCTGTGTCAGTGTGCAGGGGCTACTCCTGAAAGTGTAGTGGCCAAGATTTAGCACAAAAAGAGTCATATTTCCCAGTGTAATCATGCCCCCAGTAGCCCCTCAAATGGTTGTGTGGCAAACAGAGAATAGCAAGGTTTAAGCTAGGAAGAAAACACATGTGAAGGGGATGGATCATCCTGTGGAGTCCCTGGCAAGAGGTGTAAAGCAGTCTGAGGACACAGGCAGGGGTGACTTAAACCTCAGCATTCCTGTCCCCTGGGCCCAGGAGTGTGTGTGTGTGCATGCACATAAGTGCATTTATCAGTTTGTGATTCAGGAGAGGAATGGCTCTGTTCAGCTATACACAGTGATGTCCTTCTGACCACTGTCTCATTGCTTAGCACTGCACGCAGCCCTTGGCAACCTCCTTACAATAGAGTAAGTCAAGCCTCGCTATAGGTGCTACCAAGATGACACTTCCACGTTCAGAGGCATCTGCGAATTATGGTGGCTACAAAACAACAATAACGGGGGTAGGTGGGTTAGCTTTTAAATTCCTGTCTAATCTATAAAGCCCTAAATGGCTTGTGTCCAAGTTATCTCAAGGACCATGTCTCCCTTTTCTCTCAGTCCCACCCCCTTCACGGGTGCTTTTGGTGGAGGACACGGGAGAGGGCCTTCTCTGTTGCTGCTCCCAGACTTTGGAACTCCCTCCCACAGGAAGCCAGGGCGGCCTATCTTTTCTGTCCTTCTTCAATCGGGCAAAAACTTTTCAGACAAGCCTTCTGTTAGTGACTGGCTGCCTGAATGGTTTTTTTAATGGATTGTTGTACCTGAAAGTGTGTTTTCAGAGCTGCTTTTGTTTACTGTTTTTAAGTGTGGTATTTTTCTGATCCTTTTTAGTATTTGTATACTTACTGTTGTTAGCTTTAAATATTGCCTTTTACTGATGAAAGCCACCCTGGATGCTTTTTAAAGAGAAATACAAGGTAAAACTATTTTAAATAAATAAATTATTGACTTCATGGAATCATCTAGCTGGTCATTGTGGGACTGGTCTTATCCTATAGGTCTCTTATATTCTTATTCAATGTACACACTCAGCTGAAAAGTGAAATTAATTCTGAAGTGTAACATTATTTTTATAGATAGCAGTACAAGAGGAGACCTCCGTAAGCAAGATTGAATATGAAGGTGTTGTGAAGAAACTGGAGGTGTGTTTGGCCTTAAATTTTAGAATTTCTCATTACTTTAGATAAAGTAGCAATAGAGAGTGCACATTGTCAAAGTTTTGCACAGTAGCTAGAAAAGGTTGAACATGATGTTTTTGATTTGTTGATCATTGATTGTAAGTACATCGTAGTGATTATAAAAATGAGGAAGTAGCATATTAATACTTCAGCCTGAAAGAGAATATAGCAGAGTTTTGAATATTTTATATTTCTCCTGAAGCTATCAGACATTGCTTGTTTTATCCTGTTGCTAAGTGGAATCTAATAGACAATCTAATAACCTAAATTTTTCACCTGTTCTTTAATTTACAGAAGGAGGAAGAAGAACATGCGAAGACAAAGAATAATCTAGATGCGGTATCAGAACAGCTGGAGTTCGCTCTTGGGGAAATAGATGTTCTGTCAAAGCAACTTCAGAGGGAGAAGCAAGCATTTGATAGCGCGTATGCTTGTAAATTGGTGGGAAAGCCTCTGTGAAGAGAGCAGAGTTAGAATTAGGCTATATAAAAGTGGAGGGGGAATCGCATTACCGTATAAGTCCCAAGTAGAGTATTAGCTGTGATTACCAGTTGGCTTTCTTCCACTGGGAAAAAATGTCAATAAACAATCTGAACACTGGAGAAGGTAAAAAGCCTGACCCTGTGCAAAGTTAGGTAGTCTTAAACCTATTGGTTTCATAGCCCTAAGCACAGCTGTTTAGGACCAGGGTACAAATTATGTTCAGAAATATAACTAGTATAACTGGGATTTGTAATCAAATGTTACTTTGTTAACTGATCCTGTTCAGGGTTTGAGCCAATCAATTATGCTCTTTTTCAACTCGATCCAGTTATTCCTTCCTTTTTCTCAGCAAAAGAATTCTGATTCCATGGCATCAATGAAGATATATGTCTTCATTAGTCTGTTTTCATTCTCCTCTTTTAGGATGTTTTCCGCATTCCCCCCCTACTTTTACAAACCTGGGGGTTCCTTCAAGCCTGCGGATACCTAACAGTGGTGTAAGGCTACACAGGATCTGCATGTGGACAATGATTTTGGTGCAACCATATAGAATAAGGCATATGTCCAGTCAGGTGATGTTTTGAAATGATAATACAACATAAAGGAAGTTTAAATCTGTAGCCTAGTTGGCATTGTTCTAAAGTTTGCTGATGGGGCAACTCCATTAGTGCTTGAGATAACGTTTGTGAAGGTGACTGTGATCCTGCTTATATTAACTTAATCCTGCTTACTTTATCTGGCAGTTGACAAAGTTATGAAATCTCTTTTGTATTTAAAGAAAATTAGCACGTTGTATGGTATTAGTAAGTTGTTAGTAAGTTATTTGTTACTATTATTTCTGCGAAAGAGCTCAAGGCTGCATGTGTGGTCTTTCTGCCCATGTTTAGTCTCACAACAATTATGTTGTGCAGGCTAGCTGAGATACAGTGACTGGCCCAAAGTTATGCAGTAAGCTTCAAGGACAAGTGAAGTGTACCCCTATTTCCTCAAGCTGTATTTAGTTGCTTACCTACCTAAGTTGTTATCAACATTCTTAGAGAAGAATGTCTGAAGAGGAGAAATTCCCACTGGTGTGTAGGCTCTACATGCAAGCATGGAAAATTGGTGACAGGGAGAGGAGGAGCTCGTAATCACTTCTCTCTAAGCATGTTCCTAACAAGTGAGTAGGCAGTGACTGAATAGGGCTCCAGTTCAGGGCTAACACTCTGAAGCCAAAGATGCAAATGAAGCTATAAATGGATATCTGTGTTTTGACACTGTTAACTCTTTTTGCAGACTTTCTCATATAAACAACAAAGTGCTAAAACATTCAATCCAAAAAGACAAATTGATAAGCAAATGCTCTGGTAAGTTTGCTAGATGTTACTGTGTTACGCCTAGGACAACTTTGTTAGTCTAGGGAACAGTTTCTTGGCAGCCAAGTAGACTGCCAAAAATGAAAGCCCTTCCTGTGAAACCAGGTGACTAAAAATCTACCTTCAGTTTTAAAAATTGATATTTCTATGATACTACATTATGAGGGACTCCACACTGCTTGAAAGGTAAATGACTCCTAGAGACTTTCAGAGATATCAGTTTGTATGCCCTCTCCCCTGGATAATAGAGGAGGCAAGGAAAGGGTTGCAAAAACAGCCTGGTAGCACCAGGGACCCACTCCGTCTTAAACTGAAGGTCACACTGCACGTTACATGTTTTTTAGGTATAACCTTTAATTGTATGTCTTAGTATGGCACTACTTATAGTCTGTTTGATGTCAGCTCAGAGCTTATTGTTTATCTAGGCATTTTAATCAGTATTTGTACGGTATTTGCAGCCTCTCCCCTTCTTTGTTTTATTATTATTATTGTTGTTGTTGTTGTTGTTGTTGTTGTTATTATTATTATTATTATTATTATTATTATCCATGCAAGGATGAAAGGTGGTTTTATGTATAAGCAGGCCTTCCCAACAGTTAATCCCAACAGTTAATTCCTGACGATTCTTTCCTTCTATACTCCTATGATCTTTATCTTCGTTTATTTGTAATGTTTTTAATATTTACTGTTGCTGATTGTAAGCCGCCTAGAGTGGTCGAATCTGACCAGATAGGCGGGATAGAAATGAAATGAAATGAAATGAAATGAAATGAAATGAAATAAATAAATAAATAAATAAATAAATTAAACTATTTTAATAAATTAATAATAAATATTACTGTTCTATACAAAGTGACAATTTTTCTGTTAAAAATGTGACAAGATTTGACACATATTGTCAATATGATTATATGTGTCATATGACTGGCTAAAGTTCTCCCTGGTGTATCTGAGTTTGCACCTAGAGACAATGTGTGAATCAATTCTTTCTCTGCAGCTTGCATGCTTCTATTAT